GTCTTAAGACACGGTTCATTAATGCTTGGAAGGTTGATGGTGCATTTGTGAGCCCAAAAGGCATCACTGAATACTCATAGTGACCCTCATGCGTTCTAAATGCTGTCTTATGAGTATCTGATTCCTTCATTCTTATTTGGTGATATCCAGATTTCAAATCCAACTTGGAGAAGACTTGTGCATTGCTTAACTCATCTAACAGCTCTTCAATGATGGGAATTGGGAACTTGTCAGGTACAGTGATTCTGTTAAGGGCCCTATATTCTCCACAAAACCTCCACCCTCCATCTTTCTTTCTCACCATAAGCACTGGACTGCTGAATGGACTGGTACTATGTTTGATAATTCCAGTTTTAAGTAGGTCTTGAACCACCTTCTCAATCTCATTCTTTTGATACTGAGGATAAACTGTCTTATTGTAATGGCCTGATATTGGGTATAGTAGCCCCTTCCTTGATTGTAATGGCATGATCACACTCTCTTTTTGGAGGTAAACTGTTGGTAGGTTGAAACACCTCCTGAAAGTCTTCCAGTAATTCCTTGATCCATCCTTCTTCCGGTTCCTTTTCCTCTTGTTTGGTTTCAGGTTTCCCTTGTACCCATTCAGCCCTCAACAAAAAATACCCCTCTCCTTGTTTCTGGATATCTTTGACTATTCTTTTAAAAGAAGTCTCAGACCTACTCAAGTTAGGATCTCCTTTCAATACCTGCTTCTGACCATTTTCCTCCCATTTAATTGTTAATTGGCTGAAATTGAATTCAACATTGCCAAGTCCAGAAAGCCACTCCATACCCAGCACAATCTCAGTTCCTCCCAAATCTAATGTATAAAAATCTTGAACTATGGTAGTTTGTTGCACCTTGAAATTGATAGCTTCACATTTCCCATTGTTACTGATCTGGTCTCCATTTCCAATCTTCACTTTATAACCTCTGTAAAATAGGTATTCCAACTTCTTGCACTATTTCTGGAGAAATGAAATTATGTGTGGCCCCACAGTCAATCAAGGCCACCACACTTTTACTACCCCTGTGGCCCTGTATTCTTCCTGTAACCTTGACAGTTCTTGGAGTAGTGATACCAGCTTTACTCATGACAGATAATTGCATGATTGAAGCCTCCACTTCTGCTTCCTGAACCCCATTTTCCAACTGCAATATCTCTGTTTCCTCCTCTGAATCTGGATCCTCAGTGACCACAAATTGAAAGTGTTTCATCTTGCAAATGCGGTCCTTGCCCCAATGTTCTCCACACTTGAAGCATAGTCCCTTTCTGCTTAATTCTTGTAATTACTCAGGAGTAAGTCTCTGACCAGCCCTTAACTCCACAGGTTTATTGGCTATCTCATTTCCCTTCTTCTCTACTGGCAGCCTCTCTGATTGAGCCTGGCTACTCAAATTAGTTCTCCACTTAGTACCCTCGATCCATCTTTGAGAGGTAGAAGTATTGCCAGTCTGCTCTTTCCATCCCCTTCTGTCCTCATCTCTAGTTCTGCCTGACTTGATTGACAGATTTTTTTCTTCCAACAATAAAGCTCTGTCCATCACATCAGCAAGAGTTCTTGTTGGATACAATTTCATCTCAGCCTTGACTTCATTTTTCAGGCCATTCAGAAAGATCCGCTTCAAAATGCCCTCATCTGTATGTCGCAAAGGTGCTACAACTAATTCAAATCTTTTTCTGTACTCCATGGCACTGCCAATTTGTTTCACACTCAACAGGGGGCTATATGGATTTTCTACCAAATCAGGTTGGAACCTTCGGATTAAAGCAGCTTTAAATTGTTCCTAATTTCGTAGTATTGCATTTTCTTCCCACCATTGGAACCAACTTAAGGCCTTCTCCTCCATAGCTAATGTTACTATCTCAACCTTTTCTTCTTCAGCTATGTTGTTCAACTTAAAAATTCTTTCGACTCTTATAGTCCAACCATAAGCATCTGATCCATTAAAAAGTGGCAAATCCACCTTCCTACCAGATTTCATAAACAGTCTACGACTACTGTCTTCTCGTCTAGATGAAACAGATCGAGAATTACCTCTGGTGTATGATTGCGTTGGACTGTCATGTCGTTTGTCGCGAGTTGAGGTTCTGGACCTTCCTCGCTCATGTCCATCGTTCTGCTTTATCAACAATGCGCGCAACTCAGCCATCTCGTGCCGCAACTCTTCGCGAGTGTTTCGAATCTCATCGCGAGTGTTCATCATCTCATCGCCATTGATCATCGACTCTTCGCGGTGGTGTTCCAGCTCGCGTTCGAAACTGTCCAATTTTCCTTCCATCGTTCCACGCGTTGCAACCATGGACATATGTCAGAAACAGTGCTCTGATGCCAAATGATAGGTTCTGTATGAATCTATCAGTATTCCGAGCTCAAAGGAGATAAAAAATGGAAGAACAATCACAGAAAATATTTATTCGAGTAACAGAAATGAAGGCATACAGTTACAAGTCGTTACAAGAGTTCTAGTCCCAGTCCCAACTCCCAAACTAGTTTCAACCTGTCTAACTAATCATAAGGACATCTATTTATAATATCCCAACCGACTCCCAATTACAATAGATCCCTTATTTAATATTTCCCTTCCCTTTTCTAGTGTAGACTTTATCATAAAAGGTAATGCCATCCTTCACATTAGACTGCTGATTTCCCAGATCCTTATCAAAATCTAATGCATCATGAGGATACAAGTTAAATAAAATTCTATAGACCACCACTTTAATCTTTATCAACACCTCCTGCAGCGAGAACCTGATATGCTCAAACATTGCAGCGTTATGTGCTCTCCATATAGTGTAAATTATAGGGCCCTGGGCTGTAGGATTAATAATAGTAGTAATAGATTGATATTAATTATTAAATAATTGTGGTAGACTGGGAGTTCAAAAATAAGGGTTACAGGCCAGGTAAGTCATGGGTTTGGGCCGGCCCTATAGAATAGAATTAGTATAAGATTGGGAGGAAGGAAAGAAATAGGTAGGCAGAAATTGGATTTGGGAATAGGCTTAGGAGTGCGAGACAACTCGAAGTGCCTCAATAGTTTCCTTCTTCTCTTTCTTTCTGTCTACGCCATTGTAATCCAGTTAGATTCTGAAAACTTCATCAATAATATACTGATTTTCTACTGCATAGTTGAGTTCTCTATCAGTAAATTGCACAACTGAAAGCGATGTAAACTGCCTTGTTACGAGCTCTCGCAACACTGTGTTCTCTTTTAATTCATCTAATTGAGCTTGCAATGGAAGTCATATTCCTCCGAATACCCAGCCATGTACGGGCTTGACTCCAAATACCTGCAGAGAACGAGCACCTAAAGAATAGGTGCCCAACCGACTCAGGTTCCTGCTGGCAAAGTACACATACATTTCCCTGGTTCAAAAAATCCAGCTTGTCCAAAGTGGCAAGTCTATCCCTGTCAACAAGCCATGAAATAAAAGAGTATTCTGGTGGAATGAAATTCCTCCAAATGACCAGCATCCAAACAGTTTTAGGGCCTTTAACCCTGAGAATCTCGTAAACCTGGGAGGATGAAAGTCTGCCATTTAGGCAAATCCGTTCCAGCCCAGCAACGGTTTCATTGTGACCTTGGAAGTGGGTCACCAGTAGGTCCTTTATTGTTGATAGCTTTTTCATCAGCTGGGAATCTCTACTGTGAGCACTCACCTCCCAAATGCATCGTCCCTTTAGGTATACAGCATGCACCCACCGGACCCATAGTGAATCTGCCTTTCTGTGAATATCCCATAATGTTTTTGATAAAAGAGCCAAGTTCCACTCCCGGCAGTCTCTCAATCTGAGACCTCCTTCAGCTTTTGGTAAGAAAATATCAGCCCAAGCTACCTTCGCTCGTCGTCCTCCCCATAAGAAAATTCTACAAAGCGCCACATCTACCTTAGCCGCATTTTGCAGAAGTTATTCGTTGAGGTCTGCTTCGGGAGAGCTATAACTATGTATTGTTATAATTATTACCTTCGGGATCTGATAAAAACTGTAGTAGTTAGCTTGAGGTCTGCTTTGGGAGAGCTAAGGCTTAAGTTAGCTACTCAGGAACAGGTATTATGATTCTCTCTCTCGTTGTGCTCAATTTCTTACTGCTTAAGCAATAAACATCTGTTCTTTTGTGCCTAAAAAATGTACGCCTACGTGACCGGCTAACTCTTGATTGACTCCTCTATTACTAAACTTTTACCGAGTATTACTTTGACTTTTACCACACCATCACTGTTCTACCAAGGCAGCCATATATGCCCAGGTGAACATACCCAAACCATCATAACACTATTCCATACCTTCAGAGTTCTTACTTCCTAGCAGTTATTGCCATAACTCATAAGCAAAGATTTCCCAATATTTACACTGGAAAATTTTCAAGATTCTGGGGACTCAAGGTCACTCGTCGCATACAATGCCTGCTTTGACTTCACTTAGCATTTTAAAGAGAAGTTTGCAAATGGTCAGTCTGTTAAAATAGATTGCAGCCTTGCATGTCTTCAAGGATGCTTTATCTACACCATAATACCATGTTCTCAATCTGCTCCCTAGACAAGCCTCACATCTCTTCAACGACCTCCTAGCCTCCTAGGTCTTCGATGGCCCGCCTCTCACCTTGCAACCTCTGGCAGCACATATCAGGGAAGTTGAGCCATAGTGTGTATCATTTTATAGGTTGATATGTTTGTGTATGTATGTATGTGTGTGTGTATGTATGTATATATGTATATTATATATATGCCTGTGTATTGTCAGAGTAGTTGTCAGCCACTACGTGCTGTACTAGCTATATTTTTTTAGGAAGGGCCACTATGCCCCGGTGTCCTTGATTAACAACACTGGAGAGCTCGAACCATTATCATCATAGGTTATGTCCACATGCATGGAAATTTTAAAAAATTTGCCTCTAGATTATTATTTTACTAAAAAATAACTTGACATGTTTAACTCTAGAATCTAACATGCATCTTTGAATCAGTCACTGAATGTCTTGATTGCCTTACCCAGACAAGAAGAAAAGTGTTGCATTCGTTGCATTTTTGGATCCTGGCTCATGAGGAACATTATATCATCGCTGTTTTTGAAAAAAAAGGTGATCCCAGAAAAGGCCGGATTCATTTATAGTCATTTTTGGTTGCATATAGATCGGCTAGGATTCATTTATAGTCATTTTTGTTTTGACAGCTGGTGCTTTTCCTTTTGTTCAATTTAGTGCTTGGATGGCCAGAGACACCTAGACACTTGAATACTCCTTTAGGTTTCTACTCTGGTCTAGTTTCTTTCATTCTTTGAATTGGTGAATATGATGTTGAAGACTGAAGTTACCATGCATTTGGAGAGCTTGTCTTTTTTTTGAGCTAGTTTGGTGTCCCACTTAGATACAGCGAGAGCATCTTTTTTTTTTTACTTTTAAAATATGTGCCTTCCTGTATGAGTGTTATACTGTTTTCATAAACCGACATATAGAAGCCGGGTTGGCCTTTTATCATCATCATATGCGTGATACTCTTCAGGATTGGTCATGTGCTGTCAGGAACTTCTCCATCTGTCTTGTATTGGTTCAAATAGTTGTTTTTGACTCTTTGGAGTAGATATAATTGAATGGCAGTTAAATGCTTAGTATGCTATAGGATTTCACTTTTTGAATCTGCACAGTCCAAAGAGCTCTTAATTCTTTAAAAGTTGTCAGCTTGGCTTCAGTTGCCGTTCATAGCTCCTGTCACTCACTACTTGTGGACCACTTTTCAGTTATCTGTAATTCTTAAAAACACATTTGGGTTACTTTCTAAATAACTTTTACTTTATCAACCTTGCATTTCAAGAACTGATTCCGGACCCAGCTTCCATAATCACATTTCTTTTTCAAAACAAATTTTTTACAAATATACTTTTCAATTAACTGATTTATGTCCTACTGATATCCAAACACACTTAGAGATCTTTGGTAACACTGAAATTGGCTGAATCCCAAATTTATGAAATTCGTGTTGAAATGGCTGAATCGACTGAATTTGAAGAATTATAAAAAAATATATTTAAAATATATTTTATTAATAAAATAAAGAAAAAAGTATATGAAAATAGCTAAAATGTTCGTCTAACTTCAGCTAATTCAGCCAGAAAAACATTAAACAAAAGGAAGATGTTCTTCAGGCTTATGTATGAAAAGATGCCTATGTTCTGTGGAGTGTGTGGACTGGTGGGACATGTCACTAAGGAACACGGTGATGGAGTGCACCCGCCGGAGGCGATAATCTATTCAGAGATATTGATAGCTCCGGAGTTCAGAAGGAGAGGTTTCTGGACGCCAGGAGGGGAAGACGGAAGGCGTAAGAAGGAGCCTGGGAGAAGGGGTTCTGGCCTCTCTCAACATGGCTCGGAGGAATATGATGAGGATGAGGAAGACCTTAAGAAGAACCACAGGGGATCAACCCCTTTGAGTAAGAGGCGTCTAACCCTTGAGCAGTGTGATATAGAACCTGATGGGGAGGAAGGGTCTGGCACAAGGTAGTCAAAGGCGTTGGGCGCACTCAAGGCGACAGGGTTAGCCTAGCGCCTGAGGCGCAAGGCGCAAAAAAGCGCTCGCTTGACTCGTGTCAGGCGCACTACTTAGAAAAAATAACACATACTATTCTCCAACAATCAAACATGATGTACCAGTTCACGATATTGAAGGAAATACATTAAGAAGTCATGTTTCTTACAAATAAAGTTATGCTTCACCAAAATAAAGTCACGATTGACCAAAATGATAGAGACCCATCTAATCCGAAGACTGGTGATCAATATTTTGGAAGAGTGTACTCGAGAAGGAGGAAATAAGCTGCGAGTCTTGGGTTCTTTTCTTTTTGTTATTAAATGAATAACCACTTTCTGTTTTAAGCATACTATAAATAGAAGTAAGGCTGGGGGGGGAGTAGGCAGGCTGTATGACAGAAGTTGTCTTGACGGGGAAGTTAGAGATATTTTGTCTCTTTCTTTTGGGGGCTCCGGCCTTGGTTGCTTGTTCATTTCAATACCATTATTGCTTATTTTCTCTTAATTCTCTTATATCTTGTCTGTGATCTGGTTGGGTTCTATCACAAAATAAAGGCATGATTAAGTGATTAGGCAAAATAAAGTCATGACTCATGATTCACTTAAAGTCTTGAACACTAAAACTAGAAAAAACATAATTTAAGCATACTAACTGTAAAAAATACCAAAACATGCATTGAAATAAGTTTTAGACTTGTAGTATTAAACTGCTGTAATTGATGAGTATATTTACATGTATTAAAACATGCATATTAAACATACATACTAAAACATGCATTAAAACATACCAACTTAAAAAATACTAAAACATGCATTGAAATAAGTTTTAGTATTAAACTGCTGTAATTGATAAGTATATTTACATGTATTAAAACATGCATATTAAACATGCATACTAAAATATGCATTAAAACATACTAACTGTAAAAAATACTAAAACAAGTTTACAAGAAGCATATTAAACTGTTTACAAGAAGCAGTTTACAAGAAGTATATTTTTTCATGTTTCCAAGAACAAGAAGTTCACTGGCTAACAGAATAGACTGAACGAGAAGCATATTAAACATGCTGAAACATAAACTTAAGCATATGTATTTTTTCACATGTATATTTATACATAGTATATTTTTAAACTTAAGCATATGCATACAGAGTAGACTAGTATATTTTTTCACATGTATTTTTATACATGTTTAAGAGACATGGAGTAGAAGAAGGGTACTTTACACTTTAAACATACAATACACAAAAAACATACTGGTAGTATGTAAGAACACGTAAAGTAGAGCAGAGCTGAGCAGGAGGATGTTTAAGTTATGTCTTTAGCGTAGGTTAAGTTGTTTTGACCTAATTTAGGTGGGCTTTGATAAAAATATGGGCTTCTTAATGTTTTTCTTTCAGCGCACATGTGAAAGTTACTGAAATTAACGGAAATCCCTCTCAGGCGCCTTATGCGAGCGCTTAATAGCGCTACTGCGCTTCTGCGCTTATTGCGCCCAACCTGCGCTTGAGAGGGGAAGGTGCGACTGGCGATGTTTAGGGCGCTGGAGGCCTACGGCGCTGCGCCTGGTGCGCTTAAGCGCTCAGGCACACGACTTTGACAACCTTGGTACTCTGGCAACACCCAGATTTCTAGAACCTCCTGGCTCGGCCCTGAATGGAGCGGTTTTAGAGGCTGATGTCAACATGAAGGAGGGAGGGGAAGATGAGGAGAATGTAGATGATTTTGCTGCTAGCAGGGACATGAAGAGGCAGAAAATGGTGGAAAACATTCAACTAAACCAAAATGACTTGGCAACATCGGCGGGCTCCGTTGAGGAGCTCCGCCGGGCCTAATGTATACTCTATGTTGGAACTGCCGGGGACTTGGGCAACCCCGGACAGTTCAGGAGGTGGTCTGCCTTGTGCAGAAACATAAGCCTAAGATCGTTTTTCTGTCTGAAACTAGACAGGAATGCGAGTATGTTCGAAGATTAAGATGGCGGATAGGGTTGAAACACTGTCTCACAGTTAAAGGAGATGGCAAAGGTGGAGGTTTGGGGCTTTTCTGGGATGAAAGCCTTGTGGTGGAGCTTCTCTCTTTCGGGAGGCATCATATTGATGTGCTTGTTCGGGAAGGACCCAATGGGGTCCAATGGCGGGGAGCTTTTGTGTACGGCGAACCTAGGGTGCAGTTTAGATACCTTATGTGGACTTTATTACGTCGGATTAAGCCACACTCAAATGCCCCATGGCTGATGATAGGCGATTTTAATGAAGCAATGTGGCAAGGTGAACATTACTCACACACTAAGTGACCGGAGAACTAGATGATGGATTTCAGAGAGGTATTATCCCGTTGTGATCTCTTTGACATTGGCTTTCTTGGGCTACCTTGGACTTATGATAATAAACAACGGAGTGGTCGAAATGTTAAAGTCCGGTTGGATAGGGGAGTGGCAAATCCGGCATGAATGACCTTGTTTCCGGATGCGCAAGTCCGACACTTGGTTTATCCAAGATCAGATCACTGCCCCTTACTTCTACAGGTGCAGCTGCCTCAACCAAGAAGGCCGGGGAGCAATGTCAGACGGTATGAGTTTTTTTGGGAAAGAGAGGAGGACCTATTCCAGGAGGTTAAGGAGACTTGGGAGCGTGCCCGACCGGTGGGAAGTCTGGGTGATTTTGCGGGTAACCTGAAATCTATGATGGGCTCGCTGCATGGTTGGGGCCGTAGGCGTATCGGGAATGTTACTGAGGAACTGGAATGTAGAAATAACTTGAGAAAGTAAAATGTATTTTATTTCTCTTATTCTGTGTAATACAATGAGATGAATACAGAATATATATAGCTAGAGAAAAGTGGAATAAGGAAGGAATCCTCCTAATTAAGATTCCCTAATAAAGACAAGATAATTGAGGATATTTAGAGATTCTGAGATCTCTAAGATATCTCCTCATAAATGCTAAATCGGATGAGTAATTATCTGTAATAATCTACACTCCCCCTCAAGCTGGGTGATGGATATCATCCATGCACAACTTGCTAGATAAGTCTTCAAACTGAATTCTGGGAAGTGCTTAACAATAATGTCTGGTTGGAACATAGTTCAGCTGGATATCCTTTGCTGCAATCTTCTCTGATAAGAACCTTCTGTCTATATCAATGTGTTTGGCCCTGTCATGATAAACAGGATTCTTAGCAATACTGATAGTAGTCTGGTTGTCACATGAGATCTGGATGGAGCTTTCAAATGGGAGTTTGAGCTCATTCATCAATCTTCTTAACCACAATCCTTCACAGACTCCTTGTGTTAAAGCTCTGAGCTCAGATTCCGCACTACTTCTAGAAACCACCGATTGTTTTTTGCTCCTCCAGGTGACTAAATTACCCCATACATAGGTACAGTAACCAGTAGTTGACCTTCTGTCTAAGAGGCTTCGAGCCCAGTCAGCATCTGTAAACACTTCAATCTTCCTTGTCCTTTGTTTCTGAAACAACAATCCTTTTCCAGGAGTCATTTTTAGGTACCTCAGAATTCTATACACTGCAGTTAGGTGTTCCTCGGTTGGGTCATTCATGAATTGACTTACCACACTTACTGAGAAAGCAATGTCTGGCCGTGTGTGAGATATGTAGATTAGCTTCCCTACCAGCCTTTGATATCTACCCTTATCAACTTGTGGACTTTCAGTCTCACTGCCTAACTTCTTTGACATATCCATAGGAGTGTCCATAGGCTTGCACCCAAGCATTCCAGTTTCACTTAGCAAGTCTAGAACATATTTCCTTTGTGAAATGAAAATGCCCTTCTTAGATCTTGCCACTTCCATTCCCAGGAAGTACTTCAACTCACCTAGCTCGTTGATCTCAAATTCTTTTGCTAGATGAGCCTTCAATCTGTCCAATTCAGCCTTATAATCCCCAGTCATAATAATATCATCAACATATACTATAAGAATAGCCAATTTTCCAGAGTCTGCTCTCTTTACAAACAGTGTATGGTCTGCCTGACATTGCATGAACCCTTGTTTAATAACTGATCTTGTGAACCTATCAAACCATGCTCTAGGAGACTGCTTTAGTCCATACAAGGACTTTTTCAGTCTGCAAACCTGACCAGATTTCCCCAAGTCTTCTAATCCAGGTGGTACATCCATGAATACTTCCTCTTCTAGGTCTCCATTAAGAAATGCATTCTTAACATCTAGTTGATGTAATGGCCAGTCTAGGTTCACTGCGAGTGATAACTTTGCCACTGGTGCAAATGTCTCTGAATAATCAATGCCATAAGCTTGGGTGAACCCCTTAGCAACCAGCCTTGCCTTCAGCCTTTCAATCTTTCCATCAGCCTGATATTTAACTGTAAATACCCACTTGCAGCCAACAGTTCTCTTCCCTGCTGGCAAATCTGTAAGCACCCAAGTTCCATTCTTCTTCAATGCTGCTAATTCATCATGGACAGCCTTCCTCCACCCTGGATGTTCAAGGGCTTCCTTGATGTTGTTAGGAACCTGAATACTATCAATCTTTGAAATAAAAGTTTGATAGTTTGCTGATAGTTTCTTATAACAAGCAAAATTATAGATAGGATGTTTGGTACACTCCCTTACTCCCTTTCTGATAGCAATAGGCAAGTCTGATTCGTCATCATCTCCTTCTATAGCCTCAACCTCTTTGTCATCAGGACTCAAATTTGAGTCAGATGATTGGGTGGTGTTAATTGGAGTGATGTGCTCTTCTTCTGGAACTCTGGTTCTAGGTTTCCGCTTATAGGTATTCTTGTAGAATGGGGAATTTTGATTTAGTGTAGGATTTTGGGGTAATGATTGGGGTGATGAAGTTGGTGGCTGAAATGGTGTGGTTGGTGGAGAGACTGTATTGTCTGGAGGGTTTGTGATAGATCACAGGTAATATAACAGCAAACAATATAGATCGATGAGAAATATGGAGTAATGATCGAAGGTGTTTATTGATATCGAGCTAAACGCAATACGTATACAAAAGCTAGGACTGTTCGAGAAGCCTACTCTCCTAAGCCAAAATGCCAATTCAATCACAGCCTGCCTCATTAGTTAATTTTCCCAACTATTTATAGCCCATAACCCTCTTCCTTCTATTAAAATCACAGGCCCACTTATTAATATCTATAATAGGCCCACTTATTAATAATTCCTATCATTACTCCCCCCCTAAACAACCACCTTGTCCTCAAGGTGGGTGATAGGAGTCAGCCTTGATTATCAACTTCATCTTCATCCGAGCCCCTCTCCCTACCCAGTACCACAAAGCATTCTGGATCTTTAGCTTCAGCACTTGGGCCATCCTCTTGACCTCTACCACCGCCAGAATGAGCAGGTGTACTGACACTGTTGGGTCCTTCCCAACCTCCTGTTTAGATTGCCAATGAAGAGAGCTATGGTTCCCGGTTATTTGCTGCATAATTTCACTATGAATGTTCAGTTCACCCCACCAATTTCTAGCAGCTGTGATTCCCTTCTCACTTCCTTGTTTTAAAAGTAGATCCACGAGGTGCCCTATCTGTGAGATAGCAATCACAACCGTCTGAAACGTAGAATCCAGTTCTATATCGAGTCCACCCAACTGATATACAAAATCAAACTCATTTGCCCAACTCAATCCAGAACTTGATATTTCAGCAGCTGTTATCTTTGGTATGGAACCAGAATTCCTACCTTCAATGTAAAACTTCCACAGTTGGTAAGTTCCGAACCCAGTTCTCAAGATTTTCTTCCCCATCCTTCCTGCACTTTCCTTTACTATCACCCCCAACCTGGCATCAGATTGCGTGAACCTGGATTCTTCAATTGCAATATATTTTGGATCATCTTGCACCCCTGATTTTGCCAAAGCCCCCAGAATTATTACAATGTTGTCCACCTCCAGAACTTTATCCTGACTTCCAGCACAAGCAACACTCTTTACCTGCACAGTTTGCCCTTCATAAAACATACAATAACCATCACCAGTGTCCTGCACCACCTGCACCACCGGAGTCATGTTTTTCAATGATATCTCCATGGAGCCCAAGTGTGGGTCCCCTTGAATCTGCTGATCTAACCCCTGGATCTTCCATTTTATACTTTGTTTCCGAAAGTTTATTTCCACATCACCCAAAGTGGTCAGCCACTCCATTCCCAGAACCAAGTCAGTTTCTTCCAAAGTCAGAAAGTAAAAGTTTTGTTTTATGATTGAACCCTGCATACATAAAGTCAAATCTTCACATCTTCCATCATTAGATAGCTTTTCTCCATTACCAACCTGCACTTTGTATCCTGAAATGGTTTTAAAAGGCAGCTCCAATTCATCCACCAGTTTCTTAGAAATGAAGTTGTGAGTGGCCCCACTATCAATCAGCACTTCCACTGGTTTTACCCCTCTATCCCACTTCATAATTCCTTTAATTTTGAAGGCTCTCATGGTAGGTATCCCCTCCTTACTCATGGGTGACAATTGCATGGATTTGGACTCCATTACAATTTCTTCTTCTGTCATTTCAGGATCTATCCTTTCAGATTCCTCCTCAGCATCTGAATCTTCTACAAGCATCATTTTATAATGCTTCAGTTTGCAGGTATGCTCTTTATTCCACTTCTCTCCACACTTAAAGCAAAGCCCCTTCCTACTTCTCTCTTGGTATTCATCCTGTGATAGCTGAGGTCCAACCCTTTTTATCCCTGAAGAATGAATTTCAGTCTCCTTATTCCCTGCTGAGTTAAACCAAGTCTGGTTAGTTTTGTTCTGATTTTGAACCCCTGAACTACCAGCTCTTGTTCTGAAACCTTCTCCCCACCTGGGAGGTTTAGCATAAACTGACTCTTTATCCCTTCCACCCAATCTCTCATCCTCCTGTCTCTTAACAGATACTGCTTCATTCCTCTTCTCAACCAGTAAAGCCATATCCATTACTTCAGCTAGTGACCTGGATTGATGCAGTTTCAATTCGGCTTTGACTTCTGGCTTTAATCCAGCGAGAAATACCCCCCTTAGTATTTCTCGGTCAACATTCTTCTGTGGAGCAATGATCATCTCAAATTCATCCCTGTATGCTTCAACTGTTCCAGTCTGCTTCAAACTCAACATCGGTCCGTATGGATTCTGTAACAAGTCAGGTTGGAATCTACGAATAATAGATTCCTTAAGTGATTCCCAGTTCTTCTCTTCGGTCTGAAGTTCCCACCACTGGAACCAGTTCAGAGCCCTGTCTTCCATAGCCACTACCGAGACTTCCAACTTATCCTCCTCAGCAATATAATTCAGTCTAAAGTACCTCTCCATCCTTACTAGCCAATTATAAGCCCCATCACCATTGAACAATGGTAAATCCACCTTACGACCCGTATGAACTGGGAATCTATTATACTCATCATGTCGTCTGTGAATAGCAGGGTTCGAATGAGCCGAGTTACCTCTTGAGACCGCTGGACTGGGCGATGGACGCGAGTGATGACTATGGTGAGATCGCGATCTCCCTCGGTGATGGTGGTCCTCGCTCATCGTGTCGATCCTTCCTGACATGTTCTGCATCATCGTTTCCATCCGCAACAGTGCTTCCTCCATGATAGTTCGACTGCGTTCAACTGCTTCCAGTCGTTGCTCCATTTTTCCTCTTGTTCGAACCATTCACTATCCGAACGATGAAATTGGGCAAATACGGTGATGTCGCTACTGCCAACGATCACCGCCCCACTGCTCTGATACCAATGATAGATCACAGGTAATATAACAGCAAACAATATAGATCGATGAGAAATATGGAGTAATGATCGAAGGTGTTTATTGATATTGAGCTAAACGCAATACGTATACAAAAGCTAGGACTGTTCGAGAAGCCTACTCTCCTAAGCCAAAATGCCAATTCAATCACAGCCTGCCTCATTAGTTAATTTTCCCAACTATTTATAGCCCATAACCCTCTTCCTTCTATTAAAATCACAGGCCCACTTATTAATATCTATAATAGGCCCACTTATTAATAATTCCTATCAGTTTGATTCAGGTCTGTCTGGGAGTATAGATTCAGTGTGGTTAGATTCAGATTCTTGGAGGTCTGGAATAGTGTCTGAAATATGATTCAAAGACTGGATTTCATTGTGGTTCTCCCCCTGAAATTCAGTTTTGGAATAGAAAGGCTGATTTTCAAAAAAGGTTACATCCATTGTGATGTAGACCTTTTTGGTGGCAGGAGAATAACATTTATATCCTTTCTGGTTGGCAGCATATCCTATGAATATACAAGGTAAGGATGTAGGATCCAATTTTGACCTAACTGGAGAATGGTTGTGAACAAATGCTTTGCAACCAAAGACCTTTGGTGGAAGATTGGTAATAGGGATGTGAGGATGTAGATAAGATAGGATTTGGTATGGTGTTTTAAATTTGTGAGTTTTGGAGGGCATCCTATTTATCAGGTAAGCTGCAGTTAGGACAGCCTCTCCCCAGTAGTGTTTAGGAGTGTGAGTGGTGAACATAAGGGCTCTAGCAACTTCCAGTAAGTGTCTATTCTTCCTTTCTGCCACCCCGTTCTGTTGTGGGGTGTCAACACAGGAGCTAATGTGTATAATCCCCTTTTTTGACAGAAACTCTCCTAAATTGGATGAGAAATATTCTTTGACATTATCAGTTTTAAAAACCTGAATCTTGGTTTGAAACTGATTTGTGATCATAGAATAGAATTTTTGAAAGATAATATTGACTTCTGACTTATCTTTCATGAGGAAGACCCAGGATAGACGTGTATGATCATCAATAAACAGAACAAACCACCTTGAGCCAGTGAGATTTTTGACCTTAGATGGGCCCCAAACATCACTGTGGATGAGTGAAAAAGGTTTAGATGGTTTGTAAGGTAGACTGGGATAGTGACTTTTAGTATGTTTAGCAAGTTGACAAAATTCACAATCAAAGGCAGAACTTTTATTTATGAATAATGAAGGAAATATTTTTTCTAAGTACAAGACATTAGAATGACCAAGACGATAATGCCATAACTGAATTTGAGTATCAAATTGACTCCTACTAAGACTCCCTAAGAACTTATGGTTGAATTGACTCTCACTGGAAGTTGTCTTGTTGGTGGAGTTGGGTGAATGTTCCAGAAGATAGAGTCCACCACTTTGCTTAGCACTGCCAATCATCCTTCCCGAATCCAAATCCTGAAATTCACACAATTGTGAAGAGAATTTAGTTAGGCAATGTGTATCACTATTCAGTTTACTGACTGATAAGAGGTTAAACTTTAAATCTGGAACATATAACACATTGTTAAGCACTATCTTGTCAGAAATTTTGACTCTTCCAGTCCCTTTTATTGCTGAAGTAGTTCCATCAGCAATCTTCACAATTACCTTATTCTTCATAGGGATCAATTCAGCAAAAAACTTACTGTCTCCAGTCATGTGATCTGATGCCCCTGAATCAACAATCCAATAGGGCTGATTGTGTGCAACTAGGGTTGTTAGGGCATTACCTGTCTGAGCAGTAAGGCTAGTTGATGGTGCATGCCCCTTGCTCTGACTTATTAGATGTTGAAGAACCTCAATCTGCTCATGGGTAAATGCAGCAAGATTAGAAGTGCCCATATCTTCTTTATCTTCAGTAGCTACATAGGCTCCTTTCCCTTTGCTTGGTTTGAAATCTTTAGGTTTACCATGCAAATTCCAGCATGTTTCTTTGGTATGGCCTGGTTTCTTACAGTGATCACACCATGGCCTCCCTTTTTTCTTGTTTTCATTCTGTCTGGAAGAGGTATACAAGGCTGACCCTTCAATATTTTGTTGTTGGCCTTGAGATTTCAGACCCATCATTACCTTCCTTCTGCTTTCTTCTCTTCTGACTTCTGAGAAGGCTTCTCTAAGGGTGAGTTTCTTTCCCATTATTCTGCCCCTAACCTCATCTAGACTCTTGTCTAAACCTGACAGGAATTTGAAGACTCTCTTCCTTTCACAGATCTCCTGATATAACTTCTTATCCTTAGAACATGACCAATTGTATGTCTCAAACACATCAAGATGCTGCCAGAGTCTCACAAGGTTGTTGAAGTATTGAGTTACACTCTATTCTCCCTGCTGAAGGTTATATAACATTGATTCAACCTCAAATAATTCAGAAGTGTTATCTGAAGTTGAGTATGTTTCTTTCACAGCCTCCCAGATCTCTTGAGCTGTTTTGTATAGTAGGAAATTTTCTCCTATACTGGTTGTCATGGAATTGATGAGCCATGACATCACAGTATAATTCTCCTTTTTCCACTTCTTGTAGCCTGGATCTCCTTGATCTGGAGCAGGTGCATCACCTGTCAGATAATCCTCCTTGTCTTTTCCACACACATACATCATAACGGACTGAGACCATTGTAGATAATTACTACCATTAAGTTTATGGCAAGTAATAATCGAATCTGACTGATTAGGAGTGGTGACTGTGCTTCCATTGATATTCTGGTTGGTGCCATCTCCAGTTGGGACAACCTCTGAATGTTCAGAGGTGACTGGGATAGATCCATCTCTCTCGGTGGTCATCCCATAGGATCCGAACTTAATCATTTTAGAGAATAACCACGCTCTGATACCATGTAGAAATAACTTGAGAAATTAAAATGTATTTTATATCTCTTATTCTGTGTAATACAATGAGATGAATACAGAATATATATAGCTAGAGAAAAGTGGAATAAGGAAGGAATCCTCCTAATTAAGATTCCCTAATAAAGACAAGATAATTGAGGATATTTAGAGATTCTGAGATCTCTAAGATATCTCCTCATAAATGCTAAATAGGATGAGTAATTATCTGTAATAATCTACATGGAAAAACGAAGAGCTCGACTGGAAGTTCTTCTCACTGATCAATCTGAACAAGCTGCAGAAGAGAGAATGATAATTGGACGGGAAATGGATGAACTTCTCTACAAGGAGGAGATGATGTGGTTCCAATGCTCTCGCATTGCGTGGATGCGTGAAGGGGATCGGAATACCAAGTATTTTCATCGTAAAGCTGCATGGCGCTCCAAGAAGAATAGGATCCAGCGTCTTAGAGGCACAGATGGTGTTTGGTTGGACAAAAAGGAGGATATGGAGGATCTCGTAAGCAAAACTTGTTAGAAAATTGATGTAACGTACCTCGAAAGTACAACAACGGAAGTTTAAAATTTTCCCAAACATATCTTCCCTTATTATGACAAAACAATGAATATAGCAATAATAACAGATCTGAGTAAGAACTTACAGATCTTCCAGCCTAGCGGTGATAATCCTTGACCTTAGGTATCAACGTGATTTCTCCTCTCTGAAAGAACAGTTAGATCTCCCTTAGAGAAATGTTAGGAAATCTATTCGTAGGGAAATAAATTTGTAATACTGAATCTATAAAACTTGTCTATCAATTATGAAGGAGGATGATGTATTTATATTAGTTCTAAACTAGTTCCCCAATCACAATGAAAGTCTTTCTAATTAATGAGTTCTAATCCTGCTAGGACCAATACTCCTAATTAATTAAATAAGTAGATAAAACAAAACAAAATAATAATAATAATAATAATAATAATTGAGATGTTGTTGCACGCCACTTTCTAATTATTATATATTATTATTTATTTTATTTACTTTTCTTTTTAATTCCAAATTACAAAAGAAAATATCTACTTTATTTAATAATAAATACATCTTATTTAAGTATGATAAATCTAATTTATCTTAATTAATTAATTCTATCAAATAGAACTCTCCTTCACCTTCATGAATTAAATATGTCTAATCTAATTAATATTTAATCCATTTTCAGTATTACGAATTAAATATTATTTAATCCAATTAATAATATTTCATTCCTTCTAACAATTCAATCGGAAGGTATAATCACTTGTTGTGTGACCCATACGGCCTTATATATTAAACACTAATCAAATTAAGGTCTTAGTAGAATCCCTAGACGATTTACCAGACAAACTTAATATATAAGGACGTTTGTGAGGACTATTCAAACTCCCTGTAATATAGAGCTCATGGTGATACGGTCCTTTCAGTCACCGAACATTCAACTAAGTCTAGAACATGATATTGTGTCTATTCTAATAACTTAGTCTCTGTCTCTCAATCTTTCTAGATGATCCATAACGATCATATTCGATATCCAAAACGAATATATCTTTGCATTGGCCAATGACTTTATGATCCATCTAGATATGAGAAGTATAATGTTCTCTCTTAATCTATTACGTGGAATGAATCCTTTCTTGGCTCAACTACTACTCCATGTGCTTCGTGATGCACCCAACACATGCCGTATCTACCCCGATTGGAGTGCAAGCGTTGGTCATGGTCGAAGTACATCACTCCGCACATGTAGTACGTATTGACCTCAAGTCGGAGGACTATTACACTACTCTATACGCCGATAATCCCATAGACACATGAATAGAACTTATCAAATGGTTTCTCGGTGGGTATGCCAATATTCTCTAAAATATCTATGTGACCATCATGAAATACAGGAACTCATAGTTGTGAGATCAACTATACTTTCTAAAAGTATGATGCAGTCCACATACCAATCTTATCGCATATCATCAATATCCCGTTCTTGATGATCATTGATTGGGGCTATTTTAGGACCTTATGTTATATCATATAAGCTCCCACTTACTTATTGACAACATAAGTCCAAGGGAAACACAATTATGATAAGATATTGACAATCAAAATACTTAATCAATGTGTAATACCATATATATCAAATATATAAAACTTAATGTGATCAAGTACATATATCTCTAAAAAGTGATTGTCGCTAAGACATATACACTAACAAAGCTTTCATAAACTTATACACAAAGGACCTGGCTGTTGATCCAGAACCATTAATTCAAATTTTGGAACCCGTAATTTCGGATGGCATGAATGCACAATTATGCGAAGGTTTTACAGAGAAAGAGATTAGTGATGCTCTATTTCAAATTGGCCCATTAAAAGCTCCAAGGCCAGACGGTTTCCCAGCTCGCTTTTTCCAGAGGCATTGGGAGGTGCTTCGAGAAGATACAATCAAAGTAGTTCGTATGTTTTTCACAGAAGGAATTATGGATAAGGCGATTAACGATACTTCTATTGTGTTAATCCCAAAAATTAATGATCCAGAAAATGTTAAAGATTTTCTGCCTATCAGTCTTTGTAATGTGATTTATAAAGTCATTTCAAAGTGCCTTGTCAACCGACTAAGACCATTATTAGAGCATATCATCAGCCCTACTCAAAGTGCCTTTATCATGGGACGTTTGATCACAGATAACGTGTTAATTGCGTTTGAGTGTATCCATGCTATGCAGAAGAGTGTAGGCAAACATGGAGATTTTTGTGCTTATAAGTTGGACATTGCTAAAGCATACGATCGGGTTGATTGGGGAGCCTTAGAGGCAATTTTGCATAAACTGGGCTTTCATCAAAGGTGGATTAACTGGATTATGACGTGTGTTACCACAGTGCGTTATTCTATTCCCCTCAACGGAGAGCAACTCCAGGAATTTTCTCCGTCGCGTGGCTTCCGCCAAGGAGATCCTCTCTCCCCGTATTTGTTTCTTTTTGTTGCTGATGGTCTCTCGTGTATATTAAATAAGGAAATTCAGTGAGGTAAACTAAAGGAGATGGTTATCTGCCGTGGAGCACCGGGACTGTCACACTTACTATTTGCAGATGATAGTCTCCTATTTTTGAAGGCTACTCGAGACCAGGCATCAGTTGTGAAAGATGCTTTGAGAAGGTATGAGAGTAGTACGGGCCAGCTCTTGAGTTTAAATAAATGTTCTGTTTTGTTTGGAAGATCCTGCAGTGCAGAGAACCCAAGAGGTGGTGAAGAGCATCCTTCGTGTGGAAAAAGCGGGTTTCGAGGAGAAATACCTTGGGCTCCCTATGCCAAATGGAAGAATGAAAAATGAGAGGTTCCAAACTCTTAAAGATAAATTTAACAAGCGGTTAAATGGCTGGGCGGAAAAATACCTTTCTGCAGGGGGAAGGAGGTCTTAATCAAGTCGGTTATGCAAGCACTCCCCACCTATTCTATGGGAATTTTCAAACTCTCAGCTGGCCTGTGTGAGGAGCTTATGCAACTGATTCGGAATTTCTGGTGGGGGGATGAGTTGAATGAAAGAAAGGTTCACTGGATTTCTTGGGAGAAACTTGCAGCTCCAAAAGGTTTCGGTGGAATGGGCTTTCGTGATTTATAAGCCTTCAACCAAGCTCTATTGGCTAGGCAAGCATGGCGACTCCTGCAGTTTCCTCAGAGTCTGTGTGCACGGGTGTTAAGGCAAAGTATTTCCCTGGAGGCCAACTTCATGACACTGTTTTCTCAAGTGGAGGCTCACTATCCTGGCAAGGCATTCTTCATGGCCTTGAGCTTCTAAAAAAAGGAGTTATTTGGCATATTGGATCCAGAGCTGCAATGGATATTTGGCGGGACAATTGGATACCACGGGATAATGCTCTAAAAATCAAGGGGAAAAGGAGGTTCACTAGGTGTAGAAGAGTGAGTGACCTCATAATTCCGGGTGGGGGGGCTGGAACGAGAATCTCATTAAGGATATTTTTTGGCCTTGGGATGCAGAGGAAATTTTAAAGATAAGACTGCCAGTAACTACAAGGGAGGACTTTTTAGCATGGCATTTTGACAAACTTGGTATGTTTATTGTCAAGAGTGCATATCTCCTTGCTATATCAAGTAGACTCCAGTCTCAAAGCACGGGGGAAAGCAGCGGGACCGGCAATGGGGAAAGGAGCATTTGGAAAATTTTGTGGGACATCAAAGTGCCTCAAAAGATACGAATCTTTGGATGGCGTTTAGCCCGTGAAGCTTTAGTAACACAATTAAATCGGTTACGGAGGAAACTTACGCCTAATGGTATTTGCTCAATTTGTGGTCACAGCGAGGAAGATGCTTCCCATGCTGTTGTGGAATGCACAAAAGCTAAAGCTCTTCGGGACATTTTGAGAAGTTTCTGGCAGCTACCTCCGGAGAAGCATTTCAGGAGAACTGGCCCAGAATTGTTTCTAAATCTTTTGATTGGGGTTGATAGAGAGATGCGCTCAAGTATCCTGATGATGTTCTGGCGAGCATGGTACTTGAGGAATGAGGTGATTCACGGTAAAGGCAAGGCTTCAGTAAGAGCAAGTGCAGTTTTTCTTTCTAGCTACCTGGACTCCTTTGGGCGGCTGCAGCAGAAACCCGACCCAGGCAAACAAGGGTGTGATAGTACAAATGTTGGATTGTCATTTCTAGCTCACACGCCTAATGGTTGGAACCCTCCACCTCAAGGATGGGCAAAGCTAAATTCAGACGCGAGCTTTGATCCGGCAACGGGGGCAGCAACTGCGGGATGTATTATTCGCAACTGTAGGGGTGAAGTTCTCTTATCTGCTTAGAGGAAGCTTCCCAGGTGTACGGAAGCAACAGAGGCTGAAATTCTAGCTTGTGCTGAAGTACGGATCGCCAAGATATGGATTAATATGCCGATGATTATTGAAGGAGACTGTGCGATCATCTTTTCTAGCTTATCAAGGCCTTTGAGAGATGCTTCCAGGTTTGGTATGCTGCTGCAGGAGGTGAAGGAAGTGGCTATGTCTTTCCCGGGGGTTCGTTTTAGCTTAGTGAAGAGGGAGAGGAATCGGGTTGCACATGAATTAGCTCAATTAGTCAAAAATTATTCGGATGAGGGGTTGTTACGCCTAGATGTGCCCCCTCAGTTTGCTTCCTTTCTTAATACTGATTGTAATTCTGAGATCTTTTATCAATAATATCTCCCTTTTCATCGCAAAAAAAAAGAAAAAAAGAAAAACGATTCCAACCTTACCAAACGGCCTCATAAATATCTCATGTTTTCCTAATTCTATCATAGAAATTACGGATCCACACAGATTATGTACTACTGTAGTAGTTTTCTTGCTTTTTATGATCAGGTATTTCATGCTTTTGCCTTATGTGCAGATGGATTATGGGATGGCTTGTGCTGCTATTAGGAGTAATGTGAGAAGGAATAAAAGTTCACCCTGCAGAACCAGTGACGAACTGCGCGTTTAGTAGTACGGGGCCCATGTTTGTAAAGATTATTACAATAAAACATAACATCTGCTGCTGGTTTGTGAACCCTTGCTTCAGAGTCTCTTGAGCTGTAGCTGACTTGTATAATGTTGTGGTCTGATGAAATTGCGCAGAATTGCTTATATGATAAATAAATTTTTCCCATGTTTTTAGTTTTCACTTGATGAAAACCAGGGAAAATGGCTTAAAACAATTAACAACTTGTAGCCACCTTAAATGGGGCCTTGGGGCTTTTTTGAGCTGCTCTGTTAAATACGGAGTATAATTTAATTTGAGATTCAAATAAGTCTAAGTTAAGAACTCATAATTTATCTGGTAGAATCTCCAGTAGACAATGTGTTTGTAGACTATGTGTCTCGAAATGATTTATTTGCTAGATACTTGGTTAGAAAGTTAAGATTACCTACACTGCAAAAATAAATACTCCGTACTATTTTAATATTGCAGCTACGAACTCATTTTCTCTGGGTTCTCTTTAATTTTTGATGGCCATACGAATATACGATGGTTGATAGTGATGTCTTTGAGACTTTTGAGTCACATAAACAATTATCTAGACGGGAAACAACTGCTACTTTTTCAATTCCTTATATGCACACAGGAATGGAAATATGGAATGGGATGGGTCGGCCCGATCCGGCACTGTACAGACCTGACCTGGTCTGGCACTGTGCATGCCCGACCCGGACCGGCATTGTGCAGGCCCGACCCACCCCCCTACTTTTCAGGCCTGGTGCTGACCCGAGGCCCGACCCGGTGACTATAAAGGTGGGCTTCGGGCTCGTTTTTTTAGCCCGACCCGGATGGGTTCGGGCTCGATTGCACTATTTTTTTAATTTGTTACGTAGTCCCGTCCCTAAACTTGGCCCGACCCGGTCCCGTTAAAAACCCGAGCCGGTACTGGGCCTGAATTTCTTAAGCTCGAGCCAACCTAGGCTCGACCCTGAGCCCGGCCCGAGCCGGTCTCGGTTCACCTTGATATGCACACACTCCGGATGGAAAACCAAAATTGTTGGGATTGAAAATTCTTCTATTCAATATCAACAACAAAATTACAATTGGAGGAGCAAATTCTCACTCAATTATAAAATTATTACAAAAAACAAATCCTCGCTAATACACTCCTACTCTAAGTGTGTTTCACTCTTCACACACTTTTCTCACTTTAGAAACTGATTCTAATGAACAACAATAAACTTCCTATTTATAGGTGTACTAGTTCATTAACGTGCCATGCACGTTCGTGTAAATGCCCAATGCTATTACAACTTATAAGGGAAAGTGCACATACATTAATGTATTATTGTACATATGACTAATCATGTATATGAATAGGGATGGACTCGGGCCGGTCCGATTCCGGTTCCGGGCCGGGCCCGGACGGGCTTTTTTTGCAAATCCATGGGCCCGGAACCGGCCCGGGTTGATATCGGGTCCGGCCCGGGCCCGGGTCAATGTCTATTTTTTTTTTTTGCTTTCTTGTTATCCCCCGACCCCCCCCATCACCCCCACCCCCCAAACCTCCCCAAAACACCCAGCCCTAGCCTAGGAAAAGAAAAAAATTGAAAAAAAAGACCCGGGCCCGGCCCGAACCGCCTGGGCCGGTTCGCTCAAAACTAGGCCCGACCCCGGCCCGCCCGACCCGCCCAAACGGGCTAAAAGCCCGGAACCGGCCAACCGGTCCCGGTCCGGTCCGGGCCCGCACAGTAGCGGGCCGGTTCGGCCCGGCCCAGTCCATCTCTATATATGAATACAAATCAGATTTTCAGTTCGAGTATATTTCAAATACGAATACAAATAATTATGTATTTGATTCGACAAATAATCAAATATATTTGTTTATACATATAAAACATCATCTTCCCAGTATGTGTGTGCATCAACTACCCAGTATATGTGTGTCTATAGTATAAACCATATATCTAATGATTTTTTTTATTATCAACAATATGAAATATCTAACATAAAATTATAGTCATTTTACTTCAATATAATTAACAAATTATTTCACAGAGTAGCAAATACTTTGAAATAGACCTGGCTTCAACTTTTTACGAACAGTCCTAGAACCCAATCCCTCCACCGAACCCCAACAGCCCATCCCCCACCCCTAACAAAGGAGCATCCAAGAAATTGAAGAAACAAATAAACCATGCATGCTATTTCTTCACATCAATAACACAAATTAGGATTAGTTCATTTTTCTAAAGATTTAAGTGAAATGAAAGTGAACTGCTCTGGACTACTATACCTCAATTAATAAGAAAAGAACATGTGCTCAATTAGCTTATTATCATGACAAGCAACAACTAAGAGCTTATTGTTTAGTTCTGTACAAAGAGCAACTAAAAAAACAAGTGCATTTCAAAAAAGAAGAATCAATTGTCTAATAATTAGTCAGATACTTCATTTAATAATTAGTTAAAATAAGTAGATTTCATGGGCTACGGCCTATAAGAATCATATCTGCTCTACCTCGTTTGAACTGAACTCCTCGTTCTTGAATTTCATGAACTCAAGTGCTGAATTAAGATCAACTTCTAGGTTCCTAAGGCAAGCTCTTATGTCATTTTGAGTGACACCACCTGTCTCTGTAAATCTTCTACACCTTTTTCAATTACAACAACTATTTTGTCTTTATTTCTATGACCAAAATTAATCTCATTCGCTGCATGTCAAAACAGTAATCACATTGAACAAAATAAATAAAAAAGAGAGAAGAAAATACTGATTTAGATATTCATATCGGGTTACAAAAGATAATGATTAGAAAGTAAGGAGTAGAAAAGAAATGCGTTCAAATTCAGTGTCGTGAAATCCAGCACGTCGAGCACTCCAAGTTCTCCATGAATCTGGTACAAATGTGATGGTGTTCTCTAGATTACTACTTCCTTTATATTGTATCACAAAATATGTAATATATCACAGAAATGTTAACTATGTCTACTGGGGTAATGTAATAAATAAAATGGATACTTGTGAGAAAACTAAAATCACAAACTAATATATAAGTATATATTATGCCACTGTGAGCACATCTTACGCACATTCTTCATGATATTCATATCATACCCGCCAGTCTTGCTTAATGGCCATTTTCCATTCCCAGATTTTTCCAGACAGATACTGAAAGATGATTGTCTATGTTTCTCTAATCGTCCCAATATGTCCTCAATTCCACCCTTTTCCTCTGCTTCTGCTTTTCTGAGCCAAAGGGGAAACACTTTCAGTTTAAAACGCAATACTAAAAATCTTAGCATTACATAGATAAGCACGAGGAATGGATAATAAAACCAATAGATTAAAGAAGCCTAGAGTTGTTTTTTAGATTTCTAAAACTTTTTGGCAAGCAACAAGTCAATGATTAAATATATCTGACAAATTAACAATTATTACAAAGAGGCTGTGCAGGATATTGACAAAAACAACATTTAGTTTTTCATAAGGATTTAAAATTAAATTCGTTTGAACCTTAGGGTTTTTAAGGTCCTAAGTAGGAAGCTCACAATGATGTACCAGAAGAAGATACACTTTCAAAAGAACCAAGAGAGTCTGCTTTAATGTCGACAAAAGCTGTAATATATCAAAAAATATAGATCTTTCTTGCAAACTCCTCCACATCGAAATCAATATCAAGCCCCTCATTGTTACCATCATTATCAGAAACCCAACCAAGGGAAAACCACCCGCCTCTCCTCTTAATATCCTCAACCAAATCAAACCTTCCAACATCACCTCTGATGGTTATGATCAAACTTTAATTGAATGATGAGTGAAATCTTTAAATGCAATCACTTAAATATCTTATTTCCGATCTAGAGTATCCTCCCTAAGTAAATGTAGTTTAACGTTATAAGAACACAAACCGGAGTTATTCAAAAACTATTGCACAATCTCTAAGGTTCCTCGTGGTACGTTAAATCTTATAGATGTTTTGGAACTTAGTGGAGGCAACATGAAAAACATTTTGGGAGAAGAGTACACAAATGGTTCTGGACAAGACATTGGAGAAGGCTGATTTGGTTTCACAGAAATTAATTCATCACCACACACATCATTAATTCATCACCACACACATCTTTTGCTTAATCATTTTCAACAACTATGTTGTTCAATGGAAAGTGAGTTTTGAGTCTCATCCTTCCATGTCTAGAAAAACCAGGTTGCTGGTAAAATTCTTGCGATTACGACTGCTTCCACAATCTGATTCCAATGTTAGTTCAGTCTGCCGGAAACTACCACCATCATGAACATCCTGTTAATGCTTTCCAGTAATCGTTGTCAGTCTCCTCTTCCATAAAAAATCACATGACCACCTTTTTTGCAGGAGGGGAGCCATTGCATCGAAACTCTAATTAGGGACACATCAGTAGAAGAAGAAGGAATGGTAGAGCAGGGAAGAGAGACATCATAGGAGAGTGATTTTTTGGTTGTATAATCAATAATTCAACTTTCAAGAATTCACAGGTGAAGATGTCGAAATCAATCTGGCCATAGATAATATAAAAAATGGTGTAATCAACAAAGAAGCCTATCCATAATAACTACAGCGTTTAGGAGCAATTGATGCAGAAATTGGTTAACAGTTCAACTCAGCACAAGGTCATAGAAGGATCATAAATAATGAACCAAGTTCAGAATAAGCTAACAGCTAACCTAGTTGGAAAAGAAAGAAAGAAACAGTCAAACAGGGCACATAATTCCATGTGTATATGCTTTTAGCAAACAAACCAACAACAGAATGCTCGATTTGGCGTTGTCGGTAAGGCGAAGAATGAAATCATTCTTTGGATGATTTATTGATGAGTGACTTGTGAGTGTGGGGAATGACACCATCTCCAGCAATGGTTCATGTTATCAGGGTGTCAAGTTTCTCATCTCCCCGGATCTCAAGCTGCAAATGCCTTGAGGTGATACCGTGATACGCTTCACCTTGAGATCCTTACTTGCATTTCCAGCCAGCTCCAACACTTCAGCAGTCAAATACTCTAGGATAGCTGCATAGTAGACTGCTGTTGTAGCCCCGACTCTTCCATGAGTTGTGGTTCTCTCCTTCAGCACCCCATGAATTCATCCAACTCGAAACTGGAGACCAACGCGAGAGGAGCGAAATGTGGGTTTCTTCTTGTCCTTGTCCTTTTCTTTGTCTTTGATGGCCGCAGCAGTGGAGGTTTTCCTCATAATCAAACCCTTATCTCCCTTTCCAGACATCTTTCCCGCCTAAATTTTCTCTAATTTGAATGAGGAGGAAAGGAAGGGTTTCGATTTAGCGTCGAAGAAGAGCGAGAGAGGGTCACGTCATAGGAGAGTGAAATTGAGGGGATTTCTAAGTTCAACAATCTGAATTTACTTTCATCATCACAGCTTCTTAGATTCTTAGGTTAGACTTTTCAGATTCCGATAGCTGGCCGGAATGAATTCAGTTAGTGGAGATACAACGCTAAACGGAAATCATGAATGTGTCGGTGTGTTCCTGAACGGAAAAACACTAAA